TTGGAGGAGCGTCCGGTGCGCGCCTCGTGTTCGCCTCCGTCTCCGGACCAGGCTTTGGAGCCTGGCTGGTGGAGGCGCGATTGGCAGCCTCTCCAGATATAGTCCGGCGGGGTCTTTTTGTCCTGAAAAGAGCACGAGTGTTAATATGCCTTGAAGGAATAACACCTGGGAATAAGAAGGCGTGCTATACCTCTGCGCCGGCGCCTCAATCCGGACTGCACTTCTTTTCATCCCACGGGGCCCTGTAGCCCCTCGTTGGCTAGTCGCCGCAGGCTCGGCCTCCCGTCTCAAGAACCTCCCCTGCAAAACACGGTTGTTGTCAGGAAACTGAAAAACACGCGAGGGCGGATCCCTTTTTGAGGTGCTAGGACTTCGGTCTCAGTTACCTGGGAGGCCGGGAGCAGCCCCGGGTAATCGGCCTTAATGGCCACCAAGGCATTGTCCTTGCTCAATTGATAAAACACCCCATCAATTAACTCCATGGATAAGTCCGGATCCTCTTCGGAGGCCGGATCGAGGGACAACTCTGGGTCCTCGGGCTGTGGAGGCGGGCTATTTATGTCCTTTACTTCCAGGCGCAGTTCCTGCGTTGAAGTCGTTAGACTATATATTTAATGATGGGAATACAAAACAGACGTGCAAGTAAAATTGCCCACTTACCCAACTTGGGGGATTGTACATGGTAAATCCACCCTGTGGGTTGACGCGGAGAAATTCCTCCTCTTCTCCCTTGTACAAAGCGGACAAGATCTTTACTAGAGCGGTAGCCGAGTCCGGCCCCTTACGGCCGTGACGGGTGGCATCATCCTCCCCGTTGAAGTCCCACATGGGGTGGCCTCTGTACTGAAGCGGTTGCACCCCTCGCATGATGCATGCAGCCATGACTCCGATCATGGTTAGTCCGGAATGAGCTAATAATCTTATCCGGCCCATCAGGTAAAGAATGTCCTTGTCACTTTCTCTCTGAGGGCTCCGTGGGCGCCAGCTTAGGTTTTTCTTTAGGGGAGCGCTGTTGAACTCAGGGAGGCCGATCCGAACAGGATCCGGCAACGGGACGTCCTCTATATAAAACCATTCTGAAGGCCAGTCCTCAGACGCCTTCTTTGGGGTTCCGGATAGATATCCGGTCCCGGCGATACACCACACTTTGGCTCCGCCCACTTGATATATTGACCCCTCCTAAGAACAGGGCACAAGGCAGAATAGCCTCTTCCACAGCGCGAAATGAGCCTCAACACCCAAAAACAACTCGCAAAGGGCTACGAAGCCCGCAATATGCAATACGGAGACAGGCGTGAGGTTGTGCAGCTGGAGGCCATAGAACTCCAGGAGCCCCCGGAGAAATGGATGAATTGGAAATCCGAGCCCTCTTATTAAATAAGGGACAAGGCATACCCGCTCTCCTTTGGAGGGATTGGGGGCGCTCTCCACTTGCTCTCCGCCATTATAGGTGGCAAGTCCGGCTCGAACCGGGACCATATAGGCCGGAGGAAGAAATCCCTTTGGTCCGAAGCGACACTAGCTCGCTGTGCGGGACGGAGCATCTCTCCCAATCTCCAGGATGAGGGCTGGAAGGGCGAGAGGAGGAGCTGCGACGGCTGGCCATGATGGAACGGTCCTTTGTCGGATGCGCTCTGATGAAACTCGCGGAGAGGAGAAGGTGTGGTTTGGATCTAAATCCCCGTCCCTTTAAATAGGCGGCTCATTTACGCGGCTGGGGGTGTGAATGTAAAAACACCCAGACTTTTCGTATTCATTTGACACGTGGAAGACGGCCATTATTGGGCGTGGAAGCCGAGGAGCGCTACATTTATAAGAAACCGGACATTATTCAGCAGGTACACAGAAATTGAAGGAGAACCCGCCTTGCAATGCCGAAGACAATTTGCGTGCCAGACTCGTCGTCATTGAAGCCTGGTTCGGGGGCTCTAAGGGAGTCCTGAATTAGGGGGTGTCCGGATAGCCGGACGATACCTTCAGCCGGACTCCCGGACTATGAACATACAAGATTGAAGACTTCTTCCCGTGTCTGGAAGGGACTTTCCTTGGCGTGGAAGGCAAGCTTGGCGATACAGATATGTAGATCTCCTACCATTGTAACCGACTCTGTGTAACCCTAACCCTCTCCGGTGTCTATATAAACCAGAGAGTTTTAGTCTGTAGGACAACAACAATCATACCATAGGCTACCTTCTAGGGTTTAGCCTCCTTGATCTCGTGGTAGATCTACTCTTGTACTGCCCATATCATCAATATTAATCAAGCAGGAGTAGGGTTTTACCTCCATCGAGAGGGCCCGAACCTGGGTAAACATCGTGTCCCTTGTCTCCTGTTACCATCCGCCTAGACGCACAGTTCGGGACCCCCTATCCGAGATCCGCCGGTTTTGACATCGACACTGGGTGATGTTTAAGCTTATTTATGAAAACAAGAGCAAAAGAGTTCGTAATTTTTTTTTCACTTTCAGTTTATCAACTGAATTGCTTGAGGACAAGCAAAGGTTTAAGCTTGGAGGAGTTGATACATCTCCGTCGTATCTACTTTTCCTAACACTTTCCTCTTGTTTTGCACTCTAATTTGCATGATTTGAATGAAACTAACCCGGACTGACGCTGTTTCCAACAAAACTACCATGGTGTTTTTTTTGTGCAGAAATAAAAGTTTTCGGATTGGAACAAAACTTTGCGAGGAATTTTTATACAAATACAGAGAATTTCTGGAGCCAAGAACAACCGGAGGGGGGCACCTGGATGGGCACAACCCACCAGGCCCCCCCCCCTCCAAGCACACCCAGGTGGGTTGTCCCCACCTGGTGGCCCCGCAGGCCCTGAATCCGACGCTATAAAATCCTATTTTTCCAGAAAAAATCAGGAAGAAAGAATTATCACGATCCACGAGACAGAGCCGCCGTCATCTCCTGTTCTTCATCGGGAGGCTAGATTTGGAGTCCGTTTGGGGCTCCAGAGAGGGGGGTCTTCGATCTTCGTCATCACCAACCCTTCTCCATCGCCAATTCCATGATGCTCCCCACCAGGAGTGAGTAATTCCTTCGTAGGCTCGCTGGTCGGTGAGGAGTTGGATGAGATTCATCATGTAATTGAGTTAGTTTTGTTAGGGCTTCATCCCGAGTATCCATTATGTTCTGAGATTGATGTTGCTATGACTTATGTTATCACCATTATATCTATGTTCTAGATCCAATCTTGCAAGTTATAGTTACCTACTACGTGTTATGATCCGGCAACCCCGGAGTGACAATAGTCGGGACACTTCCCTGTGATGACCGTAGTTTGAGGAGTTCATGTATTCACCGTGTGTTAATGCTTTGTTCTGGTTCTCTATTAAAAGGAGGCCTTAATATCCCTTAGTTTCCAATAGGACACCGCTGCCACAGGAGGGTAGGACAAAAGATGTCATACAAGTTCTTTCCATAAGCACGTATGATTATTTATAGAATACATGCCTACATTATATTTATGAACTGGAGCTAGTGCCGTATCGTCCTAGGTTGTAACTGTCACATGATGAATATCATCCAACAAATCACCGATCCAATGCGTACGATTTTCGTACATATTGTTCTTGCTAAGTTACTACTGCTGCTGTTACTATTGTCACTGCTACAAAACCATTGCTACCACTATTACCGTTACTGTTGATGTTGCTACTACTATCAAAACTATCATACTACTATGCTACTGATCACTTTGCTGCAGATAATTAATCTCCAGGTGTGGTTGAATTGATAACTCAGCTGTTAATACTTACAAATATTCTTTGGCTCCCCTTGTGTCGAATCTATAAATTTGTGTTGAATACTCTACCCTCAAAAACTGTTGCGATCCCCTATACTTGTGGGTTATCAGGCGTCAAGAGCTACACGCATTGTATGCAACCCTTCGTTAAGACAAGAAAATATAACTTTGTGGCCGGTAACGATAATCACAACCAATTGGCACATACAGTAAACATATAACTTTCTTACAATCATCGAAAGGACGACAGATGACTCAATTTGACAGTCAGTTACGGGAATAAATCTGAAGTGCCCAGCCACTGTCTCATCACAACCACTTGGGCCTCCTTTGATTTGGAGGAATCTTGTAAGAATTTCATAGGATAGGATTTCTATAGAAAAAATTCCTTTAGAGTCCTTTGGTTTGTAGGAATGGAATCCTAATCCTATGGAGGAATTCTTCCTCTCCTTCACATTTCATAGGAAAATAAACATTAGCCTAGATTCAATGAAAAAATCCTATGATGTGAATCAAAGGGCATCTCCTTTCCTATTCCCAATCATAGGATTTGAGATACATGTCATCTCATTTCCTATGACTTTCCTATTCCTATGTTTTTTCTACCCTATGAACCAAAGGAGGCCTTGACATATACAGTAAACATGTGACATTGAGGTGGTTTTTAGGTAGAATCAATGGGGAGAAAAATCAAAGATGGGAGAAAAAAATCAAAACAGGAAGGATTCGTAGGGAGGATGGATGAAGGAAAGATGTATGACGAAACCTTAAGTTCTTTTTGAAGTAGTGAAGATATATCATATATCATTATGCCGCTCCATGGAGCCATAATACATTGACCAGCAAGACATTACTACTAAAAGTAAAACAAGCAAGACAATAAAACATGATTCGCCGCTCCATGGAGCCACAACACATTGAGTCGTCCAATTTTGTGTATTGGATGTGTGCATTGATTGCACCCAAATTATGACAAAAAGAAACAAATTGCGGTGGAACTCATATTACTGATTTTTAGATAATACATGTATACATCGATTGTTGTATTTTTTTTAAAGCAAGTCAAGCATGTCTTACTACTAAAAATAAAACAAGCAAGACATTAATACATGATTCGTAATGGGAACGTTTAAACAAAGTGTGCATGCATGAGAATTAGCATAATGTGGTATCTGAATGCTGCTATTTTGCATGCATGGTAGTATGTAGATGATGTTGCGTGTGAATAGGTGTTTAAGGCACCACTTAGGCACCATTTTTGCCGGCGGCCTGCTGAGAGATGGCCCCGTACTTCATTGCATCAGCCTCGGATTTTGTGGCATCCTTCTTAGCGGATGCTGCCTCTTCAGGTCTTGTGGCGGTTTCAGCCTTCTTGATGGACTTCTCGGCAGCAGCTATGCGAGCATCTGCCAAGGTACCGGCAGCTTCTTTCCTGCTAGGGGAGGTAGAAGAACTTGTACCAGCTACTTGCTGAGAAATGACACCATACTTTGATGCAGCAGCGGTAGACTTGGCTGCAGCTTGCTTGGCAGCCGCGGCCTCTTCAGGTGTGGTAGCGGTTTCAGCCTTCTTGGTGAACATCTTAGCAGCATCAGTGGTGCCTTCTTTCTTATTGGGGGAGGTAGAAGAACTTGTACCAGCTGCTTTCCGAGAGATGGCACCATACTTTAATGCATCATCAACAGACTTTGCTGCGTCTCGCTTGGCAGCCACGACCTTTGCAGGTGTCTTGGTGGTTTCGGCCTTCTTGATGGACTTCTCGGTGGCGGCATAGTGTGCGGCGGCTAAAGTATTGGCTGCTTCTTTCCTGCCTAGGGAGGTAGAAGAACCTTTACCATTTGCCTGCTGAGAGATGGCATTGTACTTTAATGCAGCAGAAGCAGATTTTGCTCCATCTTGCTTGGCAGCCGCGGCCTCTTCTGGTGTGGTGACGCTTTCAGCCTTCTTGATGGACTTCTCGGCGGCAACAACACGTGTAGTTGCTAAGGTAGCGTCAACCCCTTTCCTGCTGGGGGTAGCCATCTTCAATGTGTTCTCCTCCGCAACGCCATAGGTCTCGGCTGGCCTTGTGGCCGCCACCGCCACAATGGTGGTGAGAAATAACATGGCCATGACATTCTTTCTGTTGGCCATTAGTAATTTCTCAAGTGGTATGTTAGGCGCGCGGAGGATTTGAAATGGTGGAGACACATGATTCGTAGAGGTGATAGACTTTTATAGAGACAATGTGAGATCAGGAAATCTCTCCCATGAATGTGAGGTCATAAGGGGTCAACAATGAATGTGAGGTCACCAGAATCCTAGAAAGGTATGTGGTAACCCATTTGTGGAAGCATGCATGCATGTATGCGTGTTTTGCGTTTTCTTTTCTAGTTTCTCTCTATGTATGGACCGTGGGAACAAAAATAGATTTCTAAGTGCGAGCTCAGATGCTCTTGAAATCCAGGCCTTCTACTCTTTTCGAGATTGTTGTAGGTACCATTACGTGACTTCCAGCCCAGACCAGGAGGTCCTTCTCATCGTACTGGAATGGGAGACCCTAGGGACGCGCGCGAACTCCGACGGACACCATGCACGACTGTTGGTGCATGCGTATCCGTGCGGTGCATTAATGTGGTGGCAAGTGACGTGACATGAAACAGCTTGTTGCCATGGTGAGCAAGGTGTGACATGATCAACGACCATGAGAAGTCGTCTCCAGTGTTGAAGTCAACTACGTAGATGAATGGGTTGTCCATTATGGCTTAGGATGACCTGGTTGGTGATGAAGCACACAAACTTCACGAAGGACGCTACCTCTTGTAGCGTCTGGTAAGCTAGCAATCTGTTGGCCGATGTCGGTCGTGGATGACATTCGGTGTGCGTACTGACGATCCTACACCGCAGGCCCCAACTGGAGCTATACAAATCTTTAGGCCATGACTCGGATTCAAAGTTTCAAAGTCACACCACGGGCTAGCAAAGTGAGCCACGACTTAGATGAATGCAGACGATTAGGTGCCATGGATCAGAATCCAACCAAGATGGCACTGCTTGTCCTTCGTTCGAACCCTCCTCGTGTGCTACATGATAGACCCACATGTATCGCACTATTCATGCATGTATAGTTCGTTTTGGGGATTTTCCACGCCCTAGCAATGCAACCTCATGCCCCATTTCCCGAATCTCCATGCAGCAATGAACAAACATAATAGCAGGTGCATCTAAGCTTAGGCTCTGAAATCACTGCTCCCATGTGGGATGCCTCCACTCTGGCTTGCCACATGGATCTGGCTGCCGTCGTCGCCTCCTCCAAGCTACCTCAAGCTCCTCCTTCACGCGGTTGGCCCCGATGAGCTCTCTTTGCCAGAAGAGGTGGATGAGTAATGCCTCCAAGCCCGTGCACCCTCTTTTCCCCTGCATCCACGTGTATGAGGGCCCCCTCCCCGAGGTCCACCACCTTCACCGAGTGCGTCCCCGAGCCCTCGACACAATATCCACCAAGCCCACTACCGATGTTGTTGAGTTCGTCCTACGGCCCCCTTCTCCGACATCCTTTAGTGTGGCCTGAAATCACATCAGCGTCGCGTGGAGTCGCCCATCACTAATTATCCTGCCATCAAGAAAGACGAATTTCCCTGATCACCTCTCCTCCCGTGCTCTAGTGCTACGTGTTTGTTGCTATTGCGGGCTTGGACGGCAAGGTCGTAGAGATGGAGGCACCAGCAGCATCGGCGGTCATTTCTTCTTCTACACAACAATATGATGAGATGCGGCCAGTGGCGCCCACGCAATGTTCACTCATGATAGGTCCCCTATGCAGTTTCTTCGTTGGTCGGCTTTCCTTTTTGCCGGCTTCATGTGATATTATAAAAAGTAGATGTACCACTTGATACTTTCGCCAACTTCTCTTCATTTCTTTTTCCCTCGGTTATACGAGAGTTATTGATCTACTATCGCTCCTCACATTCGGTCAATCAATAGAAACAACAAGAGATTTGGGGGAATTTGCCTAGGGTTCGGCACCAACAGAGGTGCAAGATTGACCCAGCCATGGAGCCGGGTCACGACGGTAAGGTTTAACCCTTTGAAACATGAGATGCCTCTACTACCAACAAATCATTGCCTTTACTAGGTGAATGGCCGTGCATTGCAACGGGGAACATTCATGAATCCGTGAGTGATATATTCAGGTGATGCTATCAAGAATCAATCAACTTTATGCTCTTGTTAGAACATCGTACATGTGCCATGTATGTACATCTTGCAATGTTTATCTGACTATTTTTAAGGCTGGTCTGTATGCTGGCATGTCTCCTCACCTTGAATCTACGAATATGCCCAGAGAGGGTTTGCTATCAAGAGTATTTAGCTCAGTCAAGTAGTAGACGCATTTTCTTAGCACTGCAATAAAAAGTGTTTTTGTCAGGACAATAAATTGCAAGCACAAAAGGAAAGGAACCATTTTTTACCTAATAACCCAACTTTTAAGTAAACTTTGAAGAAAAGGCTCATGTGTTGGGGAACGTTGCAGAAAATTAAAATTTTTCCTACGGTTTCACCAAGATCCATCTATGAGTTCATCTAAGCAACGAGTCAAGGGAGTGAGTTTGCATCTACATACCACTTGTAGATCGCGTGCGGAAGCTTGCAAGGTGATGATGGAGTCGTACTCGACGTGATTCGAATCACCGATGACCAAGTGCTGAACGGACAGCACCTCCGCGTTCAACACACGTACGGGACGGGAGACGTCTCCTCCTTCTTGATCCAGCAAGGGGGAAGGAGAGGTTGAGGAAGACAGCTCCACCGGCAGCACGACGGCGTGGTGATGGTGGAGAGGCAGTACTCCGACAGGGCTTCGCCAAGCACACAACGGAGGAGGAGAGGTGTTGGGGAGGGGAGGGCTGCGCCTTGGAGGGTGGTGCGGCTGCCCTCCCCTCACCCCTCTATTTATTGGGGGAAGGGAGAAGGGGGCCGGCCCCCTAGAACCCATCTAGGGGGGTGCGGCGGCCAAGGGGAGAGGGGGAGAGGGTGGCTTGCCCCCCAAGCCAAGGGGGCGCCCCCTCTAGGGTTCCCCCCTCAACCCTAGGCGCAAGGGCCCAAAGGAGGGGGTGCGCCCAACCCACCAGGGGCTGGCTCCCTGCCCCACGCAGCCCATGTGGCCCCCCCGGGAGGGGTGGCCCCTCCCGGTGGACCCCCGGAACCCTTCCGGTGGCCCAGGTACAATACCGGTATGACCCCGAAACTTCCCGGTGCCCGTTTGACAACTTCCCATATATAAATCTTTACCTCCGGACCCTTCCGGAGCTCCTCGTGACGTCCAGGATCCCATCCGGGACTCCGAACAACATTCGGTAGTCACATACTAGTCTTCCTAATAACCCTAGCGTCACCGAACCTTAAGTGTGTAGACCCTACGGGTTCGGGAGACATGCAGACATGACCGAGACGCTCTCAGGTCAATAACCAACAGCGGGATCTGGATACCCATGATGGCTCCCACATGCTCCTCGATGTTGTCATCGGATGAACCACGATGTCAAGGATTCGATCAAACCCTGTATACAATTCCCTTTGTCAATCGGTACGTTACTTGCCCGAGACTCGATCGTCGGTATCCCAATACCTTGTTCAGTCTCATTACCGGCAAGTCACTTTACTCGTACCGTAATGCATGATCCCGTGTCCAACACCTTGGTCACATTGAGCTCATTATGATGATGCATTACCGAGTGGGCCCAGAGATACCTCTCCGTCATACGGAGTGACAAATCCCAGTCTCGATCCGTGTCAACCCAACAGATACTTTCGAAGATACCTGTAAGCACCTTTATAGTCACCCAGTTATGTTGTGACGTTTGATACACCCAAGGCACTCTTACGGTATCCGGGAGTTACACGATCTCATGGTCGAAGGAAGAGATACTTGACATTGGCAAAGCTCTAGCAAAACGAACTACACGATCTTTTATGCTATGCTTAGGATTGGGTCTTGTCCATCACATCATTCTCCTAATGATGTGATCCCGTTATCAACGACATCCAATGTCCATAGTCAGGAAACCATGACTATCTGTTGATCACAACGAGCTAGTCAACTAGAGGCTCACCAGGGACATATTGTGGTCTAAGTATTCACACGTGTATTACGATTTCCGGATAATACAGTTATAGCATGAATAAAAGACATTTATCATGAACATTGAAATATAATAATACTTTTATTATTGCCTCTAGGGCATATTTCCAACAGTCTCCCACTTGCACTAGAGTCACTAATCTAGTTACATTGTGATGAATCGAACACCCATAGAGTTCTGGTGTTGATCATGTTTTGCACGCGAGAGAGGTTTAGTCAGCGGATCTGCGACATTCAGATCCGTGTGCACTTTGCAAATCTCTATGTCTCCATCTTGAACATTTTCACGGATGGAGTTGAAACGACGCTTGATGTGCCTGGTCTTCTTGTGAAACCTGGGCTCCTTGGCGAGGGCAATAGCTCCAGTGTTGTCACAGAAGAGTTTGATCGGCCCCGACGCATTGGGTATGACTCCTAGGTCGGTGATGAACTCCTTCACCCAAATCGCTTCATGCGCTGCCTCCGAGGCTGCCATGTACTCCGCTTCACACGTAGATCCCGCCACGACGCTCAGCTTGCAGCTGCACCAGCTTACTGCTCCACCATTCAACATATACACGTATCCGGTTTGTGACTTAGAGTCATCCAGATCTGAGTCGAAGCTAGCGTCGACGTAACCCTTTACGACGAGCTCTTCGTCTCCTCCATAAACGAGAAACATGTCCTTCGTCCTTTTCAGGTACTTCAGGATATTCTTGACCGCTGTCCAGTGTTCCTTGCC